TAATGTAATATAAATCTATATCTAATCTAATTTCATATATATCATAAAATTTTAATGTTATAATTTAGAAAATATTGGAGGATCACTTTTAGTGGCTTGTGACATAGCTGCATTTATAAAATCTTCACTTAGAAGCATACTCTGATTATACATGGCCTATTAAAATTTAATTTAAAAAAGATATATAAATACGTATATAAAAAATTATTAATTTTTTATAGGTGGAAAAGTATTAAAACTTACAATATGGTCCAAACCTTCTTGAACAGTATGATCTCTTGAATAAATTAAACTCAATTTTGAACCTTGTATTGCAACTGGACTTTTACTTGCTATTTTTTCTGCAAGCTTTATTGAACCATTCAATAAACTAAAAAATGAAAGGTATGTTTTTAATTCAATAATTCTTAAATATAGAAAGATTAAAAAAATAAAAATTTCTTTTTTATTATTTACATAAAAAAATATTTTTTTACCTTTCTTGATTATCAAATAAACAACTCACAAAACCTTGTTGTGCAGCTTCAATAGCTGAAAATTTTCTTGCAGTATATACAAGTTCTCTTATTAAACTATCAGAACCTATAATTTTGGAAAATCTTTGCAATGTACCAACATCAGCAGCCATACCCAAATCAACTTCTTTTATTTGAAACCATGCATCTGAAGAACAATAACGTATATCTGCTGCAGATATCATATCTACACCAGCTCCAATACATGCACCATGTACAGCTGCAATTACTGGTTTTGGACACTAAAAAGTAATTTTGAAAAAAAAAAAGTAAAATAATAATAAACATATAAAATAATTAAATCTTAATTTAAATAATAATTTAAATAATATAGTAATATATTAAAAAAAATTATAATATACAACCTTTTCTATTGCATTAAAACTCTCTTGATATTCTTTTATCTTTAATCGTAAAATCTTGCATTTTCGTGCAATATCTTCATGTTCTGTTAAATCTTGACCAAATTTCATTATATTTTGCAGATCAATACCTATGAAATTTTGTATTATTCAATTCTCTTTTATTATATATAATATTTATAAAATAAAATATGATATACCTGTACAAAATGCTTTACCAGCACCTGACAAAATTATTGCTCTACATTCTGATTCTGTAGCTAATTCATTAAAGCAAATTTTGAATTCTCTGTATAATCATTAAATTAAAAATTTAATAATATTAAATTTCAAATATAATTTAAATTAAAATTTAATGCAAATACATACTTCCACATAACATCATTTAATGCATTAAGTTTTTCAGATCTGTTTAATTGTATCATAAAAACAAATTCTTTTGGTACAGATATTGTCAAAGTTTTATATTTATCAAAATTTTTAACATTAGAATAATTCATTTTATAAATATATTGTGTTTCTGAAAAAATTATATGTATATTTTAATATTTTTGTATAAAACATCTTTTATTTTTTATTTTATTATAGATAACTAAACTAAAAATCATTTTTTTAAAAAACATTAAATAATGCGTTATATAATTAAGATTTAATTCTTACGTGTTTTTATATTTTTTAAACAATAGCGAATTGTATTTAAAAACATGTTAATGAAAAAATTTGAAATCAAAAACTGAAAATAAAAAAAATAATTACTAATTATATTTTATATTTATATATATTTCTTGAATATATATACAATGTGAATTAGAATATGTAAATTAATCATGCTCTGTAACAATATTAAAAATCATTGAAAAATTATCAAAAATATATATATAATAAGTATACAAATATATAAATATATATAAACATACATATATGAATTACTTTAAAGAATTACTAAATTATAATCCATATTGAAAGTAATCAAAACTATATAATTAAAATCTAGGAAAATCTAAGTTGATTAAAACATAGAATATAACATTACTTCCTACGTTAATTTATTTAAAAAATTCATTGTCAACATAACATAAATAATTCAATAACAAAATTAAATTATTTTAATATAACATATTATATATTGTATTATAATTGCCTATCATAAATATTATAAGTAATATAAAGTATAATATAGAATTGAAAAGTTAATATTTAAATTAGTACAAAAATAAAGAAAATATTTTTTTCCTTTACATTAACATGCTGAGATATATATACATTTTTATCTTTAAGATTATTGGATCTACGAAATCTAATTAAATCTATTCCTTTCAGATGCCACTTTTTAATTCTCTATAATACTATTTTTAAGAAAATGTGAAATATTTTAAAAAAACGCATAAGTGATGAATTTATTATATTATAATATTTTTTATAATAATTATATATTATAATATATATATATATAATATTTTATAATTATATTATAATATACAATATTGTAAAATAAAATATTAATATTACTCTTTTGTAAATATTTTATTAAATTTTTAACTAAATTAATGAGGACTATATCACGTATTACTATCTAGTACTATTTATTTTATCTCTATAAAGTGCTTAAGAATTAGTGTGTAACTAACTTCATAGACTTTTATTGTCCAAACTGGTTGTAAGGTATTACAGTGGACATTATGTTGTCGAGATTAACTTTTCGCAATAGTAAGATAAAATTCTTATTAAAATGAATTAAAACTATTGCATTGTAAAAAATTGGAAATAATATTAATAATATATCAACTTAATATAATGTTTCTATTATTATAAAATTTATATCTATTATATTGCCATTATGTAATGCTATATTGTTTCTATAATATTTTGCTTTTAAATTTATAAAATTAATTATTATATTTTATATGCTTGTTGGATCAAAAAAAAATTGGATTGAAATTAAAAAAAAATTCATATTTGACAAAATGATTTTTAATAAATAGCTTTTTTAATATAGTTAATATTCAGTTTTAAGTAATAATAAAAAATATTTTTTAACTTTTATATTTTTTTATTTTATAATTTATTTTATAGTTCCTTCACAAGTGAAGACTTTAGCCACTTGTGGAATTCAAACAAGTGCAGTAGCATCATCTAATGGATCACGTTTAAAGAGACCCATAGATCCACCTCCAGTTAGATTAGGATTTATTCCAGAAGAATGGTTTAAATTTTTCTATCCTAAAACTGGAGTTACAGGTAAATTGATAATTATAAAATATTTATTATTTAGTATTTTGATTTAAGATAACATATGATTTTTTTTGTATTTAGGTCCATATGTATTTTTAACAAGTTTTTCAACATATTTATTATCTAAGGAATGGTATATTATGGAACATGAATTTTATAATGGGCTTTCTTTGCTTTCAATTATTATATATATTCAATACAAATTTGGAGCAAAGATTGGAGCATTTTTAGATAAAGGAGTTGATAAAGAAGAAGAAGAACTTAATAATCAAAAAAATGAAAGTATGGAAGAAATTCAGAAACAGATTGATGAGTTAGAAAAAGAAAAGTGGCGCGTTGATGGACAATTAATGCTTTATGATGTAAAGAAGCAAAATATTTGGATGCAATTGGAAGCAAATTATAGAGAAAATTTGGCAACTATTCATTCACAAGTAAGAAGCTTCTTTTTTTTAAATATTGATTTAAAAGATAAATAGAATTATATTCTTATATAAAATGTAATATTATATATTTGTTATATATGTCTATTTAAATATATGCTTATTATATATCTTCTTTGTAGGTTAAAAAAAATTCTTGATTATCATGCTCAAATAGATATTATAAATCGTAGAATTTCTCAAAAACATATGATGCAATGGATTATAAATAGTGTATTAGCATCTATCACACCTGAACAAGAAAAAGCTAATCTTCTACAATGTATTAAAGATCTTGAAGCTCTTTCAAAAGCTTGAAGTTTTATGCTGAACAAAATGAAATAAAAATATTATTAGTAATATTTGGGCTAGTATATTTTAAAAAGTATGAAAATATTACATAAAAAAAACAATGTAATATTTTGAAATTAAATCATTGTTTATCAGAGTATTTATAAATATAATATAATATTTCAATGAATAAATATACAAAAATAATATTAAATTACGTGTTAATATCTTTTGTCTTTTTAATAAAAAATCTATACATTAGTTAATTATATTTTGATATTTTGATTTAATTCAATTTAATTTTCTTATCATATAAATTAATTTTATAAAGCATTGCATATTAATTAAATATATATATATAGATATAACTATCATTTTAAATATGGAACATGATTAAAAATTTAAATTTTATATAAAATTATGTAATATAATTTAAGTGCATATAAATTAATGAACAATTATGTTGAATTATTGATAGTATATTTATATAATTATCAAAAATAATTTTTTTTATATCATTTTTTTATTCATAACAAATATATGAATAAATTATGTTTTATTTATAAAAATTTATTAACAATTAATATTTACTAAATCATTATCTTAATATTCTTATATTTTTATTCATATTTCTTAATAATTAAATTTAAGATAAAAAGAATTTTTAAATAATTTTGATATATATAGATATATATATTCTGTTATTTTAGGTTAAGTTATTATAGTTGAGAACATGAATTTTGCGAAGTGTTAAACGTCATCAAAATTACAACAATTTATTTTTGTTTTTATATGAAAATGGCATGGTTGTCAGGTCTTGCTGATAAAGCTGAAAATTTATTAAATAAAATAGATAAAAATACCGCTGCAGTTTTAAATAAAGACAAATATGAATTACCACAGGCTCAATTGACACATGTTACATGGATTCCTTCTGAGTCATGGTAAAATAAATTGATTATTAAATGTCATTAATATTTTACTTTGCTATACAAATATTATCTATTATCATTATTACATCTATTAAATAATACATATTATTTTTTTAAAGAATAGATTAATTTTTTCTTTAATTTAAATATTAATGTTTTTTTATCAATCTTCATTTGTATATTAATATTTATTAAATAAAACAACAATTAATTTGATATTTCAGTGTTAACAGACAAGATGATATGATTTTGAAATCTACTACAGAATCACCAAAGAATTTTTCTTATGTTCGTTCAACATCAAATCTTTCCTCATTGACAACAAATTCTATTATGTCTAGAGATGAAGAGCTTCTTACTTTTTTAAATACACCAAATTCAAGTCCAAAAAAGAATATAGCAGAAGTTTCAATATCACCACCAACACCTTCATCACTTATGGTTGAACATCCAACAGATACTACAGATTCTGTATCAGATTTATCAATTCATAGTGGTCGATCCAGTCCCAGTTTTATACATACTTCTGTAGATGTAACAGATAATCTTAATTATGATATTGTAAATGTAAACAATAATTTTTGTACGAACGAAGTAATAGATACATTAAATGATGAAATAATAGAAAATCAAATTTCTGGTATTATTTTAAATAATGGAAAATACATATTTTAAATTTACGTTAATTTAAAAATTTAATCAATTTTCAAATTTATTCTAGGACATGATATTATTGAAAAAAAAACTGACACTATACAACAAGGATATAAATATGATGTGAAACAAGAAAATATTGAAATAAATAAATTAATGAATTCATCTCACAATAAATATATAAAAAAATATCTAAAAGAAGTAGAAAAAAATTTAGAAGAAAGAAATGAATTACTTGGAAAACAGGAAACAGACCATCAAAAAGAAATCACAGTCTTGAATGAAAAATTGCAATCTCTATACACAGAAAAAGTGCAATTATCTAAACAAGTAATAGAATTACAATTTGCTTTAGAAAGAAGTAGATCAGAATTAAATTCTGCTAGATCTGATCTAGAACAACATAAAGCTAGAGCCTTAAAGACATTACAAGAAAAAGAAAAATTAATAGCAGATTTAAGATGCAATGAGTCTACAGAAATGGATGATACAACTATTATAGAACTAAATCAATTAAGGTGAATATAAATTTAGAAAAAATAAATATTTAATATTAATTTTTATTTTAATATATATTATTAAATGATAGGCAAGAACGTGATATACTTAGAGAAGAAAATCAACAAATTTCCGAGCAATTAAGGATAGTACGCGAAGAATTAATGAATGCTGATGTAAAATTGGAAAAAATGAGACAAAAATCTACTGAGGCAAATGTACAAGCTCAAGAAATTCTTGCTACGGAAAGACGTAGAAGATTGGATGCAGAAGAAGATGCAAGACTACATTCAGATGTATATTAATATTTTATTTGTACGTTTTATATATGTTGTATGTAATGAGATTAATTAATAATAATCATTATTTTAGGAAATAAGATCATTAAAAGATGAATTAATTCGACAACGTAATAATTATACTACACAAATACAAAAAAGCGATTCTGAAATTGCTCGACTTAGAATGCAATTATCTGTAGCTTCAACACCAAATAGCGAAGTAGAATCGAGATTAGCATCTCTTACACAAACATTAGTTTCAAAGCAACAAGCATTAGAAAGTTTAACAACAGAAAGAAATGCTTTAAGGCTACAATTAGAAAAAATAGAAGTACGTTAATTAAAAATAATTTATTTTCTAAATGGAATAAATAGTATCAAATATGAAAATATTATTCTGTGAAATATTACAATATTAATGATTTTATAAGTATAATAAGATATTTTTTTCCAGCATGAATTTAGGAATAGTCGTCGTAATGTTCCTTATAATAGTATAAATGATACAGATGATGCTAAAGCTCAAGTACCGACATTTCTGATAGAAACTCCATTTGATACTGGAGTTACTAGAAGAGTAAAAAGAGCTTATTCTTTATTAGATGCTATTAGTATTCGCACAGGAGTATTTTTAAGAAGATATCCTCTTGCAAGGATTTTGGTATTAATTTATATGGTAAGTATAATATATAAATTTAGAATCATTAGTTCATAAAATAATATACAAAAAAAAAAAAATAAATAAAATTAATATTGAAATTGAACATTAATTAATTATTGATTATATATTTATTGTAACTAATAATAGAAATTTAAGTTTTATATTTTTTTAATTCTTTACAGGCATTACTTCAATTTTGGGTTCTTATAGTTCTTTTATCACAATCACCAGAAGCGCATTAATCAATATTTATAATATATTCAATAGAACATTTTTGTAAATATTATATTGGGATAATGCACATATAATATTATTAATTACAAATTGAATCTGCAATTTTTTAATGTTCTTTACAAGTTTATAATGTATTATATAATATATAAAAATTTTATTCTTAAGTTAATTTTTTAACATTTATTTGAATTGATAATTTTATTGAATATTTACTGAATATATGTATATCATGTTAATATAACTTTTTAAAATTATTGTAAATATGGAACAGAAATTCTATATTTGCAATTAATAATTAATGAAATATTTTTCTCTATTCAAATCATTATTTATTTTTGCACTATACAGAAAAACAAAAATATTATTACAAAGATAATAAACATAATGTATTTAATTCAATTTAATAAATAATAAATAATATTAATTGCATTATAATTTTTTCATATCAAATATTTTGAGAAAGATAAATAATTTTTAAGTTGAAATATATAATATTGATAAATTTTATGTATTTTTTTTTATAATTATAATTTCATTGATATAAATTTATACTATTTTATCAATTATAAGTATTTAAGAATTCTCTATGAAATAATATTTATTAAAAAAAAAAAAATATATATATATATAATCGAACATAATCACAGGATTCAAAATTTTTATGGAATATACTTGAAAAAATAATTTATTAGAAATTTTTAGAGGTTGAGATCATTTTAATGTATACCTAATTTATTAATAATATAAGATTTTAGTTCTTTTTTTTAAATGTTTTACATATATCGTTACAAAAAGCAAAAATATCTAAATAATCTAATTATCATTATTCACTATTTTTACATATCTCGCTAATTGTTAATATGTGATTTGGTTGATTCTTAATGCTATGTATTACTTTGTTAAATTAAAACAAAAGAATTTGATATGCAATATAAAAACAGAGACATGCGAACAAATAAAATTTCATCATTTGCATCTTTATATCTTGCAAATATATACATTTAGTAATTAAGAAGTTGTTTTTTTATTTGTTATTTGCAATTATATGATATGAAACGTTGATCAAATAATTTCCAAATGTTAATAAAATGTTGAGCAGTTTTCTTGTTGTTTGATCGAACGTTTCTTAATATTATGCCTCTGTTGCAAAATATCAATTTACTATTATTCTATTGTTCGTGACATTAATTTAAAATATAAGTTATTTTACGAGATATAATTTATTTTTATAAAGATATACAATTTTATCAAATGTTTCGCAAGAACGCTGCATGAAATTTCATTCATTGCTGATTTAATTGTAACAATTCGAATAATACTTAAGTAATAGTAATAAATTACAACTATGTATATATATTGCTCTAGCAATCGGGAAAGTGTATGATTTCTATACTTTTTAGGCACAAATTTTATAATTAACCGATTTATCTAAATATAATCAATTTAAATGAAAAGAACTAGATCATTCTTTTTTTTATTGCAAAAATAATTGATATATTAAGTAATTCAAATATTAGAATAAAGCTAAAATGTTTAAGTATTTAAGCATTCAAATGAATACAAATTTTATATATAATTTTATATATTATATCATTTCTATCGATTGTTTAAATTTAAATTTTAAAGTAATAAGCTATTAGAAAATTGAAAATCAATATATATTTACTATTTTTCTACAAAATTTACGAATTCTTATTGTTGAAATTTCTTTTATATTTTTTCAATACTGTAAATTTAAAAGAAACATGCATTTTATAAAGAATAATTGAAAATTCAATCAATATTTCGATATTACTACTATGATATTTTTTATTAATTTTTACTATATAAAGTATATATATATATATATATATTTAATAAAGTCAGAAGTTTGTCATGTGCATTAACCCTTTCTTTCCCATATAAGTTTTATGTGATCATATTTAATATTATTAAAAAATAAAATATTTCAAAAAATCTATTATAAAATTATATATAAGTTTTATTTCATTCATAAGCTTTAATGTTAAAATTAAAAGCTTTAAATATTTAATTATATAATATATAATATTATATATATAATATATAACTTAATTTAATTTAATTATATAATATGAAACATTTATTTATATTAAATAATAATGTTTATTAGAAATAGAAATAATTTGGGAATGAAAGGATTAATATATATAATATATATTATACATATATTGTAAACAGTGAAAAAATATAATAATATGCATTTGTTTGTATTTGTTCGAATTGCTCTTTATAAACTGAATTCAATTTCTTCACGAATATTTTTTTTAACAATTAAATCCCATTTCTGCTATTCATTGTAAATATTAATCAAAGTCGAATCAAATATCTAAGTCTATTTTATTTTGAGATTCATCAAAAATCATTTTTTTATCGATATTTCAGATCAATAAATTGTTATGTTTAATCCTTGGCAAACGCATTTAATTGTTTAAATAATAATAAAAATAATAAAATTATTTCTGCTATTCAGCTAAGATGCTACACTCTGCTAAGAGAAAAAACGAAGAAGCTTAATTAAGAACTTTTGATACGGTCATTTTTGGGGTTTATTCTATTATTAATATATGTGTTTTTTTATTTCTATTTTATCCTAAAAGCAAATATATATTTTTCTTAAATCAAAGAATTTTTTAAAGCGATAAAAGCATAACAAAAAATTTAGAAGATTGCAACAAATGTATTTCCATATTTTGAAAATATTAAAGAAAATTATTGTGATAAGATGAAATTTTTTTTTAATACTTTTTAATAATTATTTTTAATTATTTTTCTAATATTTTTGTACATACATTGTTCATAAATAATTAAATAGAATTTTTTATGAAATATATTCCGATAATCTAAAATTTTACAATCACTGAGCGCAAAGATGATAATAATCTGATCTAATTGTTGCAATATATCTCGTGAATAAAACATTTAATCTTGTCATTACTTTAGTAATACTAGTAATTAATAGATTTTAGTGGAAACAGGTAACTTAAAACATATCTATAATGAAATATTTATGATAATATGATATAGATGCTAAAAAAATAATTTCATATTGAAAGTTATCATAATGTATAATATGATCATTATATATATAATTCAGCATGAAATTTTATAAACTATATTCTTGAAATATGAATATACGATCACAATTTCTTCTTCACATTAACAGAATTAGCATTGCTTTTAAGTTTGGTTCTTCTTATGAAATATATGTCAAAATATATATATATTACTCACGATTAATAAATAAGGAGGTTCATTAATTGAAAACTATATTTGCAGAACCTCTTTTAAAAAAGTAATGCTAAATTTTTATTTCTTTATTTTTATTTTATTTCTTTGTTTTTATCATTCTTTTTATATTTAGAAAGAGATTATGTAAAAGTATATAACATGCAGATTAATGTATATTTGTCTTTAGATTGTGCTTATTGTTTTATTAACATAAACAAAATATGAGATAAGAAATATTTCTTTTGAATTTTATTATTTATGTTTCTTTGATTATTAATTTTTATAAAATGATATTTACTATAATAAATTTCTATCTCTTGAATATTATGTATTTATATAATATTAAGTGAAATAAATTAAAAATGGACGTTTATTTTAGGATACATTTAATCCGCAAATACCTTTGCGGATCCTTTTGATAAAGTATTAAGATTCTGTCAAATATGAAATATTTAAAAAAAATCTATATTACTTTAGAATGAAAAGTTTTTATCATTTAATTCTACACGATGCTGATAGATTTGATAGAAGTATATTCATTAATCGAAAGTCATTCGATCATCTTGAGACCATTTTGTTCGAAATTAATTCAATTAATCGCGAAATTCTTATATCGCAAAACGAGAGAAAGAGGCAGAGTTACAAGTCAAATACAAATTTCACAGCCACCAATTTGCAGGCAATTTTTTATTCTTTTTAGAGATAAGCTTTGCTTCTAAAATTCGGATACTAAACTCGAGCGTGAAGCAATCCTGCAATTTTATTTCTGAAAATCTTATAGCAACGTTAATAAGTATTTAATATATTTTAAATAATTGTAATAATTCTATGTTATATGACTACAAATTATTTTATAACGTTGATCTTCTAATGTTATACTTACTTTATAATTTTTCTGAATAGCTACTTCATCGACATGCAAACTTCTTTGATTAAAATTTCTTTTACTAAAAATATAGTAAATATTTTCTTTCTATCATTATTAAAAATATTGCGTGATCCATTTTGTATTTAATAATTAAAACATCTTTTAGTTTTTAAAAGGAAAGATATAGAAAGTTTGTTCATTGATAATGCAAGTTTTTCTACAACTACTATGTAAAGATTAGATGATATATAACTTACGAACTATAAATGTATTTTCTCAAAGAAAAAAATAAATCGATACTTTTGGAGAACTCGATAATCTTTGTCTAATAATTTCTTTCGAGTTCTTTATAATTACATTACAGTATAATTCTATATTATCTTGATTACAAATGATATATTTATAGACTGAAGACTTTTATTTATTTCTAAATTTTAATTTGTAATATAAGTAGTCTTTATTCTTCGGTAAAATTTTTGATGAATGGGATGTGCATTATTAAAAATTAATGAAGATTATAATTGGATTTATCTTTAAATACTTATTGTATTTATAAAATTAAAAGTAACATTTTATTTGGATATTTATTATTAAAAATTTATATTATATGAAATATGATTGCTCCACATTAAAATTACGTTATTGAATTACTATCTACCTATTTATATTTTTTAATAAGGAAATAATTCCTTTTTGTCATTCTTTATCATTTGGATTATTTTTCACGATTAAAATATTATATGGAAGTTGTTCATAAAACGAAAATTACAAACTATTTAAATACGATAAATTTTAAAAATAATAATAAAAAAAATAAATAAAAGATAATACATTATATTGATCAATTTAAATATCGTAAGAAATTTTAATGATATTAAAGAACAAGTTAAATCAAAAACTTAAAAATTATATTATTGATTTTACTATCTTACAGATAGAGTCATGAAATTTTATTTAAAATCTTCAATATCATTAATAATCCCTATAACGAACTGATGAAGACAATACACTCTAAGAAATCTATCAATTAAACTTCATCTGCATCATCCCAATCTTCTTTCCAATAGTATTCTTATTCTGTTTCTGTTCAAATAAGAATCAATCGCATCATCGTTCTACGTTCTAACGATCAAATGACTCAAATCGTTTCATTCTTTTCGATTTTGTTTACGAATTACCTCTTTCTCTTGCGCATAATATTCTCAAACATTACGATTCAATGTCGGATTGTTCAGAATCGTTTTCGTTGCTGCTACAGGTTGACGTGACGTCGTTTGACGAGGAATTTATCGAGTTTGGTGTGGGCGGAAGCGATGGTCTTGGTATAGTTTTCTCCGTCGACGAGGTCACATCCGTTTCCTTGCAGTCAATAATATCCAATCTCTGTTGTATACACTTGTTTTCGGGATTGTTCAATACTGAATGAATAAAGTCTCGAGTCTCTGCGCGCAGGGCGTTTACTCTTTCTTGAAGAATGTTGTTTCGTCGTATCAGAGCCATAGTACGTACGACAATGTCTAGAAGACCTGATGATGATATCGAATGATCTATTATATAATTATTCTAATCTTAAGTAAATTTTTAAAGATTTCAAATAGAAATTGTAATTAAAATTATTGTAAATAATCAAAATTATATTTATTTTGTAAAAATATTGAAATGATGTAAATTATATTATAGTGATAATGTAAAAAGATGAATGATAAATATCGTTCTAATTGAAATTTCATTAAAATAACGAATTAGAGATAATAAAATTTTTATTCCAAACAACAGTTTCTTATGAAGTGTTTTGTATTTTAAATTTTAATAATTAAATTATATTTCATTTATCAAATATTAATTAAAAATAATATCTAATTTGCATTTACATTAGTTTTAATAATTTATATACGTAATTTTACATATTTTTTAATAAATAGAAATAAATAGAAATAATTAGAAATAATATATAGAGTTAGATTAATATATAGAGAAATAATATATAGAATTAAAAATTTCAATATTAAGTAAAAATTCTCTTTTTTTAAATGACTTTTAATAAAAATTCAAAACTTAAACTCAATAAAAAAATGATTAAAAAAAAAATCGTAATAATTTGCTTTGTTCCTGTTCACCAATCGTAACGAATCGTGTTCACTTAATTGTATTAAAAACTACACCTTTTCGTCTCGCTAGAACACTTTCCAATGTTCCTTTGTATCCACTGGAACTTTAGCAGAACATTTGGAAAGGAAGAACTGACGATTGTTGGATCACAAGAGTCATTGGAATTTTCTGGTTCCCAAAGAGAATTTTCCGGTGGTGTCAAAGACTCATCATCGCGTGAAGACTCATTCGTTTCCAATCGTCTAATTTCTAGCCTTTGTTGCTTTGCAACAGCTCCATTATGAATCCTTTGTCTTCGTCGTGAACATGGGATCGTAGATGTTCTTACAACAGGTATCTCCGACAAATAAATAGTCGGAGCCATTTTATAATAAAATCTGCAATCAGAAAAATAAAATTCTTAGAAAAAAGATAGTCATTTAAAAAAGATATTATAGAAAAGAAAAAGTCTTTATCATTTAAAAGAGATATTATAGAAGAGATTTTAAAACTAATTAAAAATAAAATATGTTTGATAATAATAAAATTCTAAATCTACTTATATGGATATATGATAATTTTAATAATTCATATCCTATCGTACATTAATATTATTGATTTTATATTAATATTCTAGATAATTATATTTCATAGATTTCAAATTTATTCATACTTAGTAAAGATAAGAAAAATTATCTTTTTGTTTTATAGGGGAAAATAAAATGTAAATCTACTTATTATAATAAATAGTTTTATTTTTTAAATTGAAAATTTGAAAATGAAAATAAAAAAGAAAGAAGAGTAAAAAAAATAATAATATTTATAATTTTTAATAAATAATAAAATTTTTGTAAATTTCGAAGAATTTATCTATATATCTATCCATATATTTTTAATTATTCATTTATCTTCTATATTTTTTTCATATAATATTTGAAAATGCATTTATCTTTAAGAAAATTGCTATAATTAGAAAGTTATCTTTAAATATATCCTTAATTATTTGTAATTATGATAAGATTATTTTTTTCAAATTTATTTCTTCTATCTTTATTCATAATTGTAGTAATAAAAGCGATACTATATTTTAATTTTTTTGTATGTATTTGTACGTAGTATATACATATACATTTTTTTTTACACATATTCAATAATATTTAAATCAATTTATGCATAATTTGCAAGAATTACACACAATTACACATATCCAGATTTATTTCAGTGTAATTGTTCCTTAATATATACGATTTTTACGAATGTTCATACGGACCAATCCATTCATGAAAATGCTCACATTTCCATAAACTACATTTATACGTTATACAAGCCTGGTTTCTCGACCATAGTAATTGTCCTGTCAGCAATACATAATGATACTAGCCATCTGCGTAATTTAACGAACAGACAACAATCGATGACCTACTTATATACGCATCAATGATGCGTTTTATTATGTGAAAGTGCTTTCATTAAGTAAATAATTTTTATACACGATATATTTATTCAAAAAGTTATTAAGTTAATAATAACATTTAATTTAATAATAATTTTTGAATGATATTATGTTTTAGTTTTTTATCTTATATGTAATAATATTTTATCAGCGGTATAAATTATAATTTAAAATGAAGATTATTGTTAAATTTAAATATAATTTAATTTTAACTTAAAAAAATAATTATAAAATTAAAGAATATCGAATGAAAATTAATTTATTTATTTAATCATAGATCGATATACTTTAAAAATGAATAAATAAGACAAAGAATTTTTTTAAAAATTTTATATTTTTATTCAATAACGCATGGTATATATATGACAACTTTTATGATGATATATTTTTAATCCACATGCACAAATGTATTTGAAGAGAATCATAAAACTTTATCTTGTTTGAAACATTGTTTGTAGAATGTACTTAAATCCTTAATCGAGATCACGCTTCAATTATTAAATTTAATTAAGATAATTACATTGATGAAATACGATTCTAATTAACTCTTATTTCAAAAAATTTGATACATTAACACATGATTATATATAATTGATATCAAAGTCTATGACCGGCTCATAACATAAAAAACACGATAGATCTAGTTATATTAATTTTTCAATTTTATGATTAAACATTAAAAGAGTATCTTATCATGATAGTTAAAAAAGAAGAACAATTCTAAGTTTAAAGATAACATAATATATTTAAATAATAAAGTGTTAAAATTAATAAAGTTTTAAAAACATTGATAGCATGATTATCAATATCATAATATAGTAATTAATATCATTGAAGTATTCAAGATAAGTATATTTAATTTAAAAAAAATTAATTAATAGGATATATTAAGAATAAGAAAGAATAAAAAAGATATTTGACTTGTCATATCTTTTTTCTGTAATCTTCATGTATAATTACTATAGATTCAGATTGATAAAATATATCTAAAATATATAAACAAAAAATCAATCATGTTCTTCGAATCTTAAAATATTTGTTCCAATACTGTTTATTTCAAGAAAATATTAACATAATAACTTTAATAAATGATTATTGGCATGGAAACATCGTTTTACTTTGTGATTAGAAGATTAATTATAAATAAAGGATCGAAAGATAAGACTTTCACTTGTTATAAATGTCTAATAATACTGACACGAGCCGATGTCTTGCACCTTGACCACAGGAGACACGTGTACACCTGCGGTAATGCTTGATGTAAAAAGTGACTACTTAAACAACGTCCGTGTGAAGGTACGTGAAACGTTTTAAAATAAAAACGGTTAAGCAAGAACGATGAAAAGTCAGCACGTGGATCATTGCTAATAAATCAAATCATTCTGCAATTATTAATCTGGTAATGCTAATATTCAACTTTTTGTAAATTTTTCAATTACAAGTTTTTCATCTTCATATGAAATTTCAGATTAATCATTTGCCTTTGAACAAATCTTTTTATTCAAAGATTCTTAGACACAATACAAAGATATAATTAATTTGTATTCTTTATCGATCAATTTTCTATTATTCTATGGTAAGAAATATATAAATTGAATTTCTAATAATAATTGTTATTTTTAATATCATAACTTAAATTCAATACTTTGACATCTATCATACTTCTTTCAAATCTAATTTTTTTACTCCTTTAAATTTTCAAAAAGTTTAATAAAATTTTGGATGTATTAATAATTATATGCGTACTTATTTCTAGTACATTTATATATTTTCGTTAAATCAAATATTTGAGATTCTTTTTTTTTTTTTTTGTAATGAAAGCAAAAAATTAAAAAAAGGATGAAATCCAAGGATGAAATAGATCTTGGATTATCAACGACCTAGATTTTGTCTTTCGAAATTTAAAGGTTTCATAATTGGAATTATAAATATCGAGGTAAACTATATATTAAGTCATTCAATTAGAAAAAATTACATAATTTTTTTTTTATATTCCTATTGTATCTTATAACTTGCATAACTAACAACATACATATAATTTAAAAGAAGAAAAATTAAATGAACGTATAACATAAAAGTAAAGTGTTTTTTACGACAAAAATTATTCCTCCAAATCTTTTTTAATTCGATAAATTAAAAATTATCCTAACATTCGTATTGAAAAAATTCGCTATACTTTTTAACAGATGATCATGATCGTTATAAGTAGGATTTATACGATTCAAAGAACGTGTTACGGATTAGTTTTCTTAATCTGTAGCCAGAGTAGTTTTTCAAGATCCTAACGTTCGAAATCAAGGATTCTCTACAACATGTGTGTATTTAACTATAGTTTAGCTATGAATTACACGTGTTCACTCGTACCGGTTGGCGACGCGATCGATGCAGGCGATGACCTGATTACTGTGAACGTCGGTGCACGTGCCTGCACCGAATAAAGCAATAGAGCCTCGCCACGACTTCTCGTCACCCCTCGACCGGTTACCCCGGCTGCTTTGACCTCGGATTTCGTCGCACCACGTGCGACTATGAAACAATACTGATAACGCTACATGCAAGCATCCATAATCCGATTGCGGCTGCGCAATATATCATATATCGCACATACAGCTATATCATATATTCCTGATACATCATTAATGAATGAACGCATATGTATATACGATATATTGAAATGAATGAGCTGAGAATGCAAAATTAGTTTTTTTTTTTGCTGAGAATAGATAAAAATATATTAATCATTATGATAGTTATTGTAATAATAGGAATATTTATATTGGAATTGTATTTTTTAAAAAATGGAAAATGATTGAAGATCTTTTGGAAGAAATTTTATAGATATTTTATTTTTGAAAATATTAGTTTAGAATAGAATTTAACAATAAAATTTAATTTAAGCAAAAATGGAATCCGAAATCGAATGTTATTTTTCTCGAATGACATTGTGAATATTTATTAAATTAGAAATGATTCCCGTTATAATTATCTTATATAAATTATAAATAAATATCCAATGGAAGTACATTTCTGGCATGAGATTCCATTTGCTGAATTTTCTCGTGCATATTCTAAACACATGTACACTAATGTCAGAACATTTCAAATATGTATTTTTCATGTTATTCAACACTTCATTCTTAGTCACAAGTGAAATATGTTCATAGATAATCCATAAATAAACTCTTAGCAAAAGTTTTCCTTAAATAAACTTCAAAGATCATAACAGTAATTCAATCGAACTCGATATAAATCCGCAAGAATTTAGCCACGATAAATTATATAACGAAATAATCGACTTATATTTATAATCCCATTTCCAAAGATTTACCAAGTCAACGTACGCTAACTATCATCCGTTATAATCTTACCGGTAATCGTGAAAGTGTCAAAATCTTAAGGCCGTTTTCTACGGTTTCTCCCATAGAATTCCATCGATGGGTCGAGCGTAATCACGCGATCTTTTCTATTAAATGTAAGCCACCGATACGCGTGGCGACAGGATCAAAGGAACCTAACGGTAATTTTTGACTCATGACGGATATACGCGCGATAATTCACGAAGGGGAACAGCCGTGATATATCGTAGGTGTCATCCGTGCGTTCGTGTATTCGCACCCAGCCGAAAAGTAAAGTGGTGGGCTCTACAATACAGACATCCGTTAACGGCAACTTCCCTACGAATGAAGGCCAATAGGGAGGAGAGGCCTCTCCACAGTCGGATTGCAGAGGGGTTGCATCGTGGGGAAAAGGAAGGGAGAAGGAAAGGAAGAGGGAGATTGAGGAGAGAGAGAGAGGAAGAGAGGAAAAGTGCGAGGGAACTGGGTGGCCTTCAATAAGGGCACACGTGCTGAATTTTCGGTTCGTCTACCGCGTTTCGCCAACCGTCCTCGATTTGCGTGGATTCGTTGCGTTTCGTAATTTGCACGTTTTGCACGATTATTTTTA